TTCCTAGCAGGTGCCTGGGTGCTGACGCTGCTCTGGGCACCGCACTCCGAGAACCACTGGAACAGGCAGAGACACAAAGACAGTGGAAACGAAGAGAGAAAACCAAACAGTCACAAGGGCTCTGAAGTGGGCTCACTGGGTCAAGGCTGCCCCGAGTCCCAAGCACTCCTGAGCGTCCCTAAAACCTCGCAGAGGAGCGAGGAGGCGAGTCTCCCAGAAGCAGAGGTCGGAGCTCGGCAGTCAGGTCGGGTTCCTCCTGCTGGGACTCGGGCTGGTCCAGAGCTGGCTGGGTGACTCCCTAAAATGTCTTAGGCCCGTTGAATGTGTCATGATCACACTTAGTTCATTTTACACAGGATAGGAGATGTGATTACAAACGGTGAGCTGATGCTTCAAAGAGAACAGTGATGCTCTGGAAAGTATACACAGCGTACGGGTGAAAGGAATGGTCACGTCAGGTGTCAGTGAGAAAGTGGGAAGAAAGAAAAATGCTAGGGCTGTGCACCCAGGCAGACTGGTAAGTACCTAAGATCGTGTCCACTTTAATGAAATCCGAACTGGAAACAGGAGAAGAGGGTTTAAGGGTGTGTGCCACACAAAACCAGTGGGTCCACGTGTAAAGAAAGAGGCTCGCTCTTCAAACGAGTGGCGAGTGAAAGCACCCCTTTAAAGGCCTGGGCTCCCCATCGGGGACTGGCAAAGAGCCGCCCATTTGTAAGTTTTCAAGTAAAATGATGACGGTCTGTATGTTTTCAGAGACTCCTGGGGGTGACCGACTTCACCCCACAGGCTGCTGCCACAGGGCAGAAACCTCTTCTCCGTGGGGCCTTGTGCCTGAAACTCCACTGGAATCTGAAGCACATCCAGATTTGGGGGCCGCCGAGCTCAGCTCAGGAAGGAAACGGGGCGACTGCACCGGTCTGCGGGGCCATCTACCGTGTGCTCAGGGCGGGCAAAGCTGAGTGCCCGCGAGCCGCTGGCGGGTCATCTCCCCCCGGGAGACTACGACAAATGACAAACGCTTATTGGTTTCAAATGGAACTCCTTCGTGGTGAGCCCTCGTACACACATTTAACTGACGGTCTGCTACAGTGCGGCTTCAAACGTCCTCTTGTCCAGCGGACACTTCCTGCTGGGGCCCCGCTGACCGGCGACTGCCTCTGGGCACTGGTCTCCTGGCCTCCCAACCTCCCCTGGAGGTAAGTTCCGATGTCAGCGCCTACACAGCAAGTGGCCCCAGGGCTCCTCCTGCAGAGGAGCCCTGGACCGGGATCCCCGGCATCATCTGCTTCATATTCTTACTGGGAGGAACTTATGCTGCAGCTTCTCCAAAGAAGCAGCCCACTTTTCCTGAAAATTTCTCCCGGGAGCTTCCTCCAACTGAAATGCTCACGGGGTGGAAGACATGTGGTGTGTTAAGGTATTTCCTCCATCATTTTCCTCCTAAATCTGTTAGCTTTGACTTAAAATCCAGCAGCCAACATGATAACACTGATAAGGTTTAGACCTCATTTCAAAAAAACAGTTTGCTACTAGTATTTTCTCAAATGTCATACTTGTGGAATGGTGATCAACTATATATTTGAATTCACGAAAGAACAAAGTAACAATGATACAGTTTTTAAAAGCAATTGCTTCTTTTGTAGGATTAGTTCATCAGGCAATTAAAAGAGCATGAAAACAGTAACTTATTAATAAAAAAAGAGTGGAAACACAGCTGCATTGCCTACATTTAAAATTTTTTCTATTTCTGAGTGAAGCAATATATCATCTTTTAAACCTCTGTTTCATACTTAAAACAGTCAAAAACCAAACACACATATGGTTAGTCTGTAAAAGTCACTGTGTGTGTGTGTGTTAAAATTCTCCAGAAACATTTACTCTTTTGGGTAACAGGCATTTAAGTATCTGCCGTGCTTGGTGGCAAAAATATACCCCCTACTCGATTAATGTTTTGAATAGGAGACGGTTCATTTCCCGATGACTCCGCAAGTATCTGCTCCAATTAGTTTTAGAAAAACAAATCAGGGTTCTGGGGCGGCTCTAAAATTACCGTGGAAGGTAGAAACAAACATCTGTGTTAAGAATGTACGAACGTGGACCAACCACCCAAGAGGGCCTCGGTCCTGCTCGTCAGGAAAGAGACACGCTGAAGGCGAGGATGTGGTTTTCTGGAAGGTTCCATGCTCTGGACCACAGACCTTGTCTTTTCAACAGCACCCCCTCTCGTTTAGTGTGACCCAGCGACAGGGCGAAAAGGATGTGTCACACAGCCTCTTCTCCAGCGAGCACTGTCCTACCCATATCACTCCCGCCACACGCAGGCCCTGCTCTGGCCGTGGGGAGGCTCAGCCCTGCAAGACAACATCCCTCCCGCAGCCCACAGTCCAGTGGCAGCAAGAACGAAAGCATCTTCCATGCAGGAGGGCGACAGGAAGCAAAGGCACCCAGTGACCCTGACAAGCGTCTGGGACACCACTGCAAGCCTGGTTCACCACGGCCTTAAAGGCATTCCCGAGGGGCTGCCAGACTTGCCGCCATCTAAGTGGCGAGGAGATTCTCGACCTGTATGGGACCGGGGTGGGCAGAAGAGAAGGGCGGTCACAGGGGCCTTGGAAACGTATGTTATGCTCACCCCAATCAACTACCTCCGCAGAACAAGATAAAATAATTTAAGATTTTACACTTACACGCCCCCTGTGGTTTTAACCACAGACACCCTTATAGACACCGAAAAAATTCTGAAATGGCTACGAGTGATAAAAAAAGGAAGTCACCCACTTTTTATTTGAATAGAAGCCACAACCCTCCTTATATACGAAATTGAGGGCTTCTGCTGCGGGCAACCAACCCTGCAGGACTGTGCTGAGAGCAGAATGTGGGAACTTAAGAGTCAATAGTTTTGAAAATTAGGGGTCCCCTCTGCCCAGAAAACATACGTACACACAAGCTCTGTGCACAATCAAAGGGGAGCCCCAGGACCTGAGGCCCCTGTGCCCGACTCCCAGGACCAAGGCTTCCCAGAGCAGGTGAGCAAACTTCTTCTGTTAAAAGCCAAGCGGCCCACCTTCAGCCGGCAGGCTACACAGTCTCGTCACGGTGATTCAACTCTGTCCCTGCAGCTGGAAAGCAGCCAGGCTGTAGGTGAACGAACGAGCGTGCCTGGGCTCCAGTAACCCTCTGTGGAACAGAAAGCTGAATTTCTTCTCGTCACGGATCGTGAGATATCATTGCTCTTGATTTTCTCAAACATCAGAAGACGCGACAACCATTCTTAGCTCCTGGGCCGCACAGGGCTGGGCCCGCGGGCTGCAGTATGGCAGCTCGGGCCCAGGCCCCGTCTGCAGCACCAGAGCCCAGGCGGCACCTGGCCCGAGTGAGTGGTGAAGCAGGAGACGTTTCTTTCCCTGGTGAAGGTGGCCGGCAGTGGCGAGGAGAACACAGGGTGGGAACTAAGAGACGTGCTGATTCCCGCCCGGCCCGAGCACCCAGCCTCTCCGGACCTGACCCCCGTCTGCAGAGTGGAGCCTCCTATCAGCGGGCTGTCGGGCCTCGTCTGCCTCCGAGCCTCTACGCTCCTTCCTTGCGCCGAGGTCAGAGGGCTGTGTCTGTGGGCAAGTCAGCCACACGAGAGGTCAGCTCTGCGGACGCGCTCCAGGCGAAGGCCAAAGGCAGGGCAGGGCAGCGGCGTCGGGGCGAAGCACGTGTCTGGGAAACACTGGCGAGAGGCCCCTTTACTGTGCGAAGGGGACCCTGACTTCAGTCACATCCCCCCAAGCCTGAGGGATGCACCACAGCAAGATGGCAGAGCGCTGTCTCAGGGGAACACGTCTCTGGAGGAAAAGGGCGCCCCAGACAAACCAACAGCACTTCTCCTCGTTTTGTATTATTCTAAGCGTGGGCTGAGGGAGATGCGCACAGGTACAGAGCCCGTCCCACTCCTGCAACACGGAGGGCGAGGGCGCACGAGGGACAAAGGGACATGGGAGCGGGTGGCTCTTGGACCAGAGGAAGAGCAGTGTCCACGAGGTGGAGAAGGAGCAGGGCAGAGAAGAGCAGGCGCCCCGACGTGGAGAAAGAGCTGGACAGGCAGGGGAGGGCCGCGGAGAGACTGGGGGCTGCCTGCCCACGAGGTGCAGCAGCTGGCGACCAGGGATAGCGCCCCCGTCCAAGAATCACAGTGAATGGACAGGAGCTGCCAAGAGGCGGTGGAGCGGGGGGCCGGTAAGACAGCAGGCAGGTACCGTGAGGTGAGGCATATGTTAGAGAAGATGTAACAGAATATTCTAGAAGAAGTGGCGGCTCGCCAGGCACACGAAAAGGGCAGGGAAGGTAGCTGTCCGTGCTGATCCCCAGGTGTGCTGTCCTGGGGTCGGGGAGGCCACAGGATGACCACCCAAGCTGCAGCGTCCGGCTCAGGAACAGGGTAAAAGCGGAACAGAAAAGAGGACCCACGCTGAACGGCCTCCTGCTCTGAAAAAGGGACCCGAACAGCGGACTGTCTTAGACCAGTCGAGGTCCCGAAGGCTCTTAGGTCATCAATATCCTCCTTGAAAGGCACTTCCGGTTACTTAGATGGGTTAGCACAACAAGAACCATGACTTCTCATCAATACCGGTCACACTAAGAGAATTCAGATGGATTCCTAACATGAGACCCGGTGCCTAAGAGAGGCATAAAGTAGAAACTAGCTGCAAAAAACCCACCAACCAACCGACCGAACAAAAAACCCGGCCATCACCTACTCAGAGTGGGACACCGTCTAAATAGAGTCAACGTGGGGTCCAGTCTGCGGACGGCCAACGAAACAGAGACAGCCAGTGCCGACTTCAGACGTCACTGTCAAAGGCTTCAAGGAAAGAAAGCGGGGGCTGGCGAAACCTCTCCAGGGTTCCCGCAGACAGACATCTGTCAGAAGCGGAGCCCGCAGGAGCCCCCGGGCCCACACCAGACTGCCCTCCGGGGCAGGGACCCCACGCCCCTCCAAGACCATCACTCACCTTTCCCGTTCACGGCCAGCCCTGTGGCCATGGCCGCGGTCACGGGGCTGGACACCTGCGGCACCAGCGGGTGTATCCGGGGCCGGCTCCCCATCCGCGCCCGCTCGGCTCCGGGGCCCAGCAGGGCTCCGACCGGCTTTTCGGCCGCCACCTCCGGCGCCACCGTGTCCTCCTGCCCCTGCTCGACGGGGTCCAGCTTCTCGGGGCTCTCGCTCTGAAAGCCGTCCACCGCGGTCCTGCTCTTGATGGGACTCTTGGGCACGAGGATCTTTATACCTGACTTGGCCAGGTCCATGTTCTTCCGGTTCGAGAGCGACGGGGCCGGGTTCTTCCTGAACTTCTGGCTGGCGGCAAACAGCGGGCTGGCCTTGGGCTCGTGCTCTTTGCCGACCACTAGCGATTTAGGAGAGGCCTTGGAAAAGCTGCTGTTGGTGGACCTGGAAATCTGCTTCCTAGCGTTGTTCGGGGAGGCCCGGTTGGCCCTGGTGAAGGGGCCCTCCCGCTGCTTCTCGGTGTGGCGCCTGTTGAAGTCGTGGATGTACTCCTCGCAGTTTACCAGGTGCTGCTCCGGTTCCCAGGTGTCGTCCTCGCTGTCGTAGCCCTTCCACCGGACCAAATATTCCGTCTTCCCTTTTTTGTTCTTCCTTTTGTCAACGATTCTTTCAACCTGATTATAGGGGAAAAGAGAAAAGTATAAACGCACTATCTGAAAAATAAGGTGCAAGCGTAGTAATAATGGATCATCGAAAATAATAAAAACCGCAACAGGTGATGCACGCGATCGTCTCTTCCCGAGCCAAACGGTCTGAAAACAGAACAGTAACAGAGCATTCGGGGTTTTAGCGATTTCCTTGAAATTAAGTCAAACAAAATGCTAAAATTTCATGCTCAGAATATATGGACGTGTTAGGTAGCTTGTTTTTTTGTGATTCAAGAGGGGCTCTCCTTCTATTTTTTATACTGAACGCCGACCACCTGAGCTGGTTTTCACGGTCACAACTGGACCACAGTGCTGGGCATCTCCAGCCTTCTGCCTGGTCATCCTGTCACCAACAGCAGGCGCCCAAGAAACAGCACGGCTGTGGTCCAGGCACCAAGGAAACAGGGTCGGTACCGACAGCGTCACTTAGAAGCACTCGGTTAAAATGAAAAAGGTCAGCAGAGGACTTAACGCTTTACTGGTAATAAGATGGTGTAGAATGGTCAGGTTATTTACGTTTAAAACTTGGTTTTAACTAGTGCGAACCAACATCTTTAAAGGAAGATGCTGTCAGTCTTTGAATTTGATGATCAACACATCCCGTATCAAATTTATGAATTTACACAACCTTGGCATGAAACGTACTGTTATTACCGTGACAAATTCCACTGCCTTAATTGACATCCTAAGTGTAGGTGGGAGAGCGTCTATGACTCGTGGGAACGAACCTGTTTCACATAATGTCCCCCAAGTTATTGGGGAAATACAATCTGTGGCTACCTCTCCAGTCAACAGAGAAACCACCAGCCTGCTTCCCCAGTGGCAGCAGGTACCTCGTCCCTCGTACGCAGAGGCCTGGGCCCCACGGCAGGCAGCTCTTTAACTAAGGAGACAGGGTCTCCTAGGCCGTTATCAGGGTCTTCAGCAAACTTCTGGCAAAGCTACAAGGTTAGGCCAGCTGACACAACGGTGTACCTAGTTCCCTAACATGCCAAAGTAGCAGAAGCCGAGTACAGCTGCAGACACTGGAGGGGAGTGGGGAACACCCTACACCCCAGCGTCTGCCCTACTGTCGAAATACCCCCCAAACTCGCCAGTATACCTACCTGGGGTGTAGAGAACGAAAGCCCTGAACTACAGAAAAGCCTAAAGTTAAATGCACGTGACTGCCTCTGGGCGACAAGGATTAGGGGAAGGAAAGCCAGGTTTCAGCAGAAGGCGGGTCTCACGCCAGGCAGACCCCGCATCACAGCGGCGTCAGGCCTGCACGGTGGGCCCCTGGGGCCCAGGCTACAGCGCGGGGAGCTTTCAAAGTGATTTCCTCCCATTCCTCTGCTTGTGAAGAGCTGCGTTTAAGGGTGTGAGTATTTCCATTTAAAACACATGTTTCTGGACAATTCCACGCCACTCAATTTCATGGCGGAAATAACTTAAAAGTTTTAGATACAAGCGGTAAAGAGAGTCTCTCTTGACAGCCAACAATGTTGTTTAATAGTTGGTTTCTTTCTAAATCAACTTCCACCCCAGCAGCATGAGGGAGGCTGGACCAGGGCGGCCCATCTTCCTTTCGCCTGTTTCCTTCAAGCTGCACAGGGCTCTGGTCAGGGAGGACAGGTCTCCTCCCCCGACCCCCGTGAACGGCTGGCGCTCCCTGCAGGCCGGACCCCCAAGGGCTGCACCGCGTGTGCACTCGGCGGCCACACTCCGCTCGGACACTGAGAGGGGCGGGGACGAGGCACGCACAGGAGACCGGGGCTTGGAAGGGGCCACGTGGGGCCCGACCACGCCACTGCACCGCTGGGCACGAGAGCAGCCACAGGCGCCACGGAAACAATACTTCCGCGCCCTGAAGTGAGGGTTTTGTCATTTTCACGTGTTCTAAAATAGGGAACTTCCGATTTTCTTCAACTATTTAAAACCTGTGGAAACCATTCTTCCGGCTGGCCTGCAGGTCCCAGCTCACAACCCCACAGTAGACGGGGAAGGAGCAGTGGGCCCTCGGGGCGCACGTGCTGCTCTAACTCTCGCGGGGACGTGACTGCAAGCTGACAACACGTGTGGCTGACACGGGGACACAGACACGAAGTGGCGGGTCTACGCGAGCCACACCGGGCATGGGACACACAGCGTGGGAGGTTCAGGCCCCTAACACCAACCTCACACCATTATACTGGACACCCTAAACTTACAGCGCTAGAGCCACCTACCCTGCTGTACCAAGTCCCCACTCACCTCCCAGGGGAACCACTCAAGTTCCTAACAACCTGCCTGTCTTCTGCCCAAGGGGGTTGTGACCTTCCTCCTTTCACCCTGAGAAACACCGGGCCACGTGCCACCAAACTGGGGAGCACATCCTCCTGCCGAGAGAAGAGTCGGCCATCAAGGGGGCCGTGTCTGGCAGCTGAGTCCACACAGGACCGCGTGGTGAGCAGTCAGTCTGTAACCATCTCCATTTCTCCTCGTCGTCAGGCCACAAAGCGGGGAACCATTTACTGCCAGGCCCATGAGCTGGTCAACACAGCGAGCCATCGATCTCCACGGATTTTCCTCATATCTCACCAAGCGACCCGTGAGGCTTTCATCCTCTCCTCTGAGAAAACCACATCCTTGTCAGTTTCCCATCATCCTAAGCGAAACTCAAGAACCGAGACGTGTCTGTGATTTCACCCCATCTGCAAGCGATCACGCGAGTCTGCACTGTTTCATAGATGTGGCAAGGGCAAGACCCCTGATCACAGACAGAGGACTCTGTTCCTCAGCAGCTGCAGCAGCCAGAGGACCAGCATCTCCTTGCTCCAGTCCCCACAGGATGACACAGACGGCCAGGTGAGACCCATGCACACGATGGGTGATGTTACAGGACAGGAAGCCAGTCTTTTATGATGGGCCGTGAGCACGCCTGCCCCGACCTCTGGCAGGAGAAACTATGGCTGTCTTCTAAACAAACATCCTTGGACAGCCCTGAAAGATGTTCAAGGGTGGGGGAGCGGGGGCAGAGGGAAGGAGCAACTGGATGAAGGTGATCAAAGGGCACAGACTTCCAGTTATAAAATGAATAAGTTCTGGCGACGTACGGCATGGCAACTGTAGTTAACGCTGCTCTATGGTATATCTGAAGTTGCTAAGAAAGCAGACCCTAAACGTTCTCATCACAAGGAAAAAACACTTCTCTCTCTTTTAGTCGTATGAGATGGTGGATGTGAACTAAACTCATTATGGTGAGCATTTGGCAACATATGTTAAGTCAAGTCATTATACTGTACACCCTAAACTTACATGGTGCTGTGTGTCAATTATATATGATAAAACTTGAAGGAAAAAACGATGTTCATGAATTCAGAGTAAATACTGTTAAAAATGAAAATTTCCCAAATGTACTATAGATACAAGACAATCCCAATAATCATCCCGGCACGATTTTATGTGGAAACTGCTGAGATCTGATCGTTTACGTGGAAAGGCAACAAACCTGAAGAGCAACCCAGAGCAATCCTGAAGAAGAACTCACTGGAAGACTCAGAGCCGTACTTCAAGACCCTCTCCCAAGAACCAAGAGATTCCCAACAGTGTGGTACTCACACAGGACGTACAAGGGCATCAGTGGAATAGAGGAGACAGCGAGCCCAGAAGTAGACCCTCACTTAAACTGGCCACATGATTGAGTGAGTGACTGATTTTTGGTGACAAAGGCTTCCAAAGCAATCCACTTGCCTTTTCAATAAATACTGCTGGAATACTGGCTATCCATACGTAAAAAAAGTGAACCACAACCTTATCCCAACCTTTACACACAGAAATTAATTCAAGATGTATTTTAGGCCCAATTATAAAAGTTTTTATATGAAGCTTCCACAGCAAAACACAGGACATCATCTTTGTGACTTAGGGGCAGGCAAAGGTTCTTTAGGTCACAAAAAGCAATAACCATGAAAGAAAGAAAATTAATAAATGAGACTTCATCAAAAAACAATGTCGAGAAAACGTATAAACACACCACAGATTGGGAGATAATATCCATAAAAAATATCTTCAAGGACTGGTCCCTAAGACTGATAAAGAATTCCTAGAATTCAATAATGAAAGGACCAAAATGTAATTTAAAAGCAGGCAAAGGATTTAAGCACACAGTCCCAAAAGAAGATAGACAAACGGCCAGTACACACATTAAAAAGTGATGAACATCACTGCTCAGGAGGAAACAAATACACAATGAGATACTACTACATACCCATTAGAATGGCTAAAATGAAAACACACCAGGGATGTACAACGGGCATATTCATACAGTGTTGGTAGGATTTTCAAATGGTACAGCCATTTTGGTAAAAGGTCTGACAGCATTTCATAAAACTAAACAAATAACTACACTATGATGCAGCAATTCCAACCTCATTACTTACCCAAAAGGAGTGAAAACATACATCTACAAAGACTTGCACAAAACTATTTATAGCAACTCTGTTCATAATGGACCCAAACTAGAAACAGTCCAAGTTTCTGGGCGACTGGACAAACTGTAGTACGTACATATAGTAATCTCAACAAGAAGTCAACTGGTGATACATACAAACACATGGGTGAGTCTCAAAACATCACACTGAATGAAAAAGCCCTACTCCAAAGACTACTCATTGTATGATTCTATTTAAATGAAAATTCTTGAACAAGCAAAAAAAAAAAAAAAAAAAAAAAAACCCACCCCGAACTATTATTGAAAAAATACCCAAAAGCAAAGGTTGGTAGGGAATTAACTGGGAGGGGCATCAGTGAACTTTCTAGCTCAATAAGCCTTTGGGTTGCAAAGGTACATGCTTTTGTTAAGGTTGGCAACCTGTATAGTACTTAAGACCTGTGCAGTGCATCGTTAGAAAATGTTACATCATTAACAAATGATGTATAAACAAACATGGAATTCAAGTTCATGAACTGCATGCTAAATGAAGTTTACTAGGGGGAAGTGTCCTGAT